GACCTCGAGGCCATCAGCCCTCGTACATTACTCAATATTGGTGTCCCAGAAGCCATCAACCCTCGTAAATGATACAAGCCTTCGCGTCCTCGAGGCCATACACCCTAGTGAATTACGCGATGCTCGCGTATCCGAAGCCACAAACCCTCGCAAATTAAACAATACTCGCGTCCCCGAAGCCATACAATCTCGTAAACCACTCAATGCTTGCGTCCTCGAGGCCATACGCCCTTGTAAATTACGCAATAGTCGCGTCCCCGAAGCCATACATCCTCGTAAATTACGCGGCATTCGCGCCCCACATTATACAAGATTCGCGCCCCCGGGGTCATAAACCATCGTAAATCAACCGCTAACAGCCGAGAATAACCCCCCAGGGAGAATCAAGTTCGGCGGTTACGGTGTGATAATAAAAGTTGCCCACCAGAGGCCAGCATAAAGATGTTAACAGAGGAGCCAAAGCCGAGGATATCTTGAGACATCCTTGGCTTTGGGCCACGGGGAGAAGGAGAAACATATAGAGAGAGAGAGAGAGAACAAAAAAAGAGAGAGAAAGAGAGAGAAAGAGAAAGAGAAAGAGACACAGAGAGAGATAGAGAGAGGTTGAGAGAGACAGAAAGAAAGAGAGGTTGAGAGATAAAGATAGAGAGGTGGAGAGATAGAGATAGAGAGGAGAAGAGTAGGTGGTGGGCGAAGGAAAAATCCAAATTTCAAACCTATTACATTTTGTCTGTAAACGCTTAATGGAAATTGAAAGTTTCATCTGCTTAGGCAATGTGCCTCGTTTTCCCCGGATAATCAACCACAGCGATAAACAAGTTCAGGGCGCCAGGGGGAGGAGGAGAAAGAGAAAGAGGAATAGATAGATAGAGAGAGAAGAGGAGGAAAAGGAGGAGGAGGAGGAGAAGAAGAAGAGCAGGAGGAGAGGAGGACGAGAAAGCACAAATCCAAAGTTTAAAACTTATTAGATTGAAGTTGTAAACGCTTAGTGACAATTAAATGTTTCATCTGCTCGTGTAGGGTAGCTCATCTGCCAAGCTTTCCCATGATAATCAACCACAACGATAAGCAAGTTCAGGGCGCCAGGGGGAGGAGAAGAAAGGTAGAGAGAAAAATATAAAAGAGAAGAGGAGGAAGAGGAGAAGACGCAGGAGAAGGAAGAGCAGGAGAGAGATAGAGAAAGAGAGAGAGAGAAAGGGGGGGAGAGAGAGAGAGAGAGAGAAAGAGAGAGAGAGAGAAAGAGAGAGAAGGAAGAAAGAAGTAACCTCGATGGCGAACTTTTCACGGTGATAATGAAGTTCGGCCTCCGCGCCCCCGCGCCCCCGACCAAACTCTTATTGGCCGTGGATAATCAACTCTTATGTGTATAGGGGGGGGTACATTATTATCGTGGGTATGTGGTTACACCGCAGTCTCCCCTTCTACGATCACTCGTGCATTACCGCAGATTCTCGCCTTCGAGGTCATTGCCTGCAGTAAATTACACGGTACTCGCGCCGTCGAGGCCAAGACCGCCCCAAGAAGCCTCAAGGAGAGCCCCAAGCCGGCCCCAGAGGGCACCAGGACAGCTCAGGAGGCACCCAAAACGGGCCAACTCCTGAAGATGGCACCAAGAGAGGTCCAAAGCGGGACCACGAACCAAAGATTTAAGCTTTCAGCACTGCGAGGGCGAAAGAGGGCTCCAAGTGGCTGCCAAGCCGCCCCAACAGGCTTCCAAGAGGCATCCACAAGAGGGCAGCCAAAGCCACGCGATGTTGCCCAACGTAGCCTCAAGCAGCCCCGAATCGCTGCTGAAATACATGGCACGAAAAAGAACTCGAGAACAATACGGACTTCAACATTACGTTCTGAACCTGAGTCTGCCGCTTACCAATGACCCTCGCAGGAGGCTACGATTTGTTTCGCAACGGCACTCAGGATTTCCAGCATGGCTCTGACATAGCCCATTCTGATAGAAAGGGGGCGGCGGCAGGGGGCGAAGCCGTACGGATATGTAGATAACCTGCTGCATTTTGTGTGTGGAAGCACTCTTCCGTCGAGGGTCGTCGGTCGACGATGCCAGACGATGGTGTGGGTGACAAGATCCCGATGTCGGAACGTGACAAGCTCCCGATATCATGTGTCGCAACGTGACCAGCTCCCGATGTCGGAACGCACTGCTCTACATTCACATCTTGGTTCTAAGACTGAAATGACGAGGCGAACAAGGAGAAAGAGCAGGACCGCGAGGTGCAGGACACGGAGGCAGAAGTAGGTTTCTGTGGCACGCAGTGGTCACTCCAGCATACTCCTGAGAGTGGGCCCCCTTGGTGTGCGTCAGAGGGGCCAAATATCGAGAGACGAATCTCCTCCTCCCGATGTTCGCCTCCTCCGCATCCGGACCGCGCGGGGACCCCCCCCAAGGAACCCATCGGGTCGCTGAGCGGGACCTCCCTTCACGAGCACTCGTAGAAAACATTTCTTGTCGAGGTCATCGGGGTCCAAACAACTACACATTCCAAGACGCCTTCTGTGTTGATCAGCACAAGAGAAGCCATTCCAGGGAGGCGGCTTCAACGGAATCCGCGAAATTAGTGATGTGAGGTTGCCTAACCTAACCCAGCAGTCCTTATGAGCGTTTGTGAATGTAGGTCCTCTCCTTTGCCGCCTGCAACTGCAATCGAACCCAACGGTCTGGTACTGGAAGGCTAACACCCCTCCTGCCAATTGACGAAGACCACCTAGGACTCGCGCGAGGACCACCCCAGAACACCCACCAGAAGACCGCCGGTGGATGATTCGGAAGACTCATGCCTGGCGGAGGAGGAGGTGCACATTTCCTGATGGCGAGGGCGGTGGTGCCCCCCCACACCACACCCCAGCCTGTTTCCGCCTTCCCCGTCCCCGGTGAAAGCCCGCGCGACCCCCCCCCCCGCGCACAATGCTTAGAGGGCGGAACAACCACCCTCACAAGAAACACCCCTAGAGGCGCAGGGCGCAACCTTCTAGGAAACGCACAGCAAAAAGGAACCGAACAGGTCAGGACGACGAATGAAACGCGCAAGACGATCCAATCAATGAGTTAGGTCGGGGTGTTGTTTCTTCCCTCGACTGCTTTCCATCGGGCACACGCTAGCATGGATTAGGGATCCGTGGATCTGGTGCGTGGGCGCCGGGTCCACGGATCGGAGAAGGCACTCTCCGAAACATGAGACCAACGCCGCCTGATTTGGCGTCAGAACGCTCCGTCGGAAACCCAGGAGCAGGTCTCGACTCAAATGCAGGATGGTTCGATGCCGCTGCCCCCCGCGGCCGAGGCGACGCACAGCCCCGCACGGCGCTCGCCGTGCCCCGGGGGGAGGGTAGGAAACCGCAGCGCACGCGGCGGCTCGCGCCGATCGCGCCCAGCGGTTTTCAACGCCGATTTGGCGTCGCCGAGACCATGGGGCGGACCACGCTGCGCGAAGGACGCCGAACCTACGTATGCAATTCATGAACTTCCGTATCCGGCCCACTGCGCAGCGCAGGCTCCGGGTTATGAAATTCCTCATCGCACGATGCCACGGTCATCGCCGAGGCATCTCAACAGAATTGTGATTGCATCGTACATGCGTTTGTGCAATGGTGCGTTTTTCTTCCATGGCACGCCCCCCCCCCCACACACACACACAAAGAGTCTTCTTCCCACGCGCCGATTGGGCGCAATCGAATGCAGAAAAAAACAGGGGCGGGACACGCTTCAGGTCCGCCAGACCCCGCTCGCCGGGGGCCAGCCCTTTTTCCCCCTGCTCGAGCCCGAGGAGGAACCCCAAGCATTTGGCGCGGCGTTCGAACCGCAGCCCGTCCGAAGACGGCGCCCCACATTCAGCCGGACCCCTGACAAGGCGGCGCACTCATTCAAAAAAGGCTCCAGGGCCCCCGCGGCCGCTGCCCTGCTTCCATCAACCACTGCCAGGTCGTCAGCAAATTCTCGGCGGCAGCGCCGGGGAGGGTCTGGCAGAGGCGCCAGAAAAGCAAATCCGCCAGAGAAGCAACGGGCCAATGGCATACGACACGCTCAGGTATTGCGGCAAAGACCGATCAGACACAAAACGGGCCCGCACACACTTTTTTGATCCGCGGGCGCAAGAGGGGTCAGACGCCAGTCGACGGCCGACACAGAAAATACTCCAGCAGAGCTGAACTCGAGAAACAAACAAACATTGCACAGTTCTGCCAAGACAAACGCACAAACCACACGCACACACACACACACACACACACACACCGCATAGCGCACAACTCAACATGACCCAACACATCACGCACACGCACACACAATACTACAGAAATACTTGTTTGGTCGGCGGCCGCGCGACTACGTTCTGGCGGCGACAGGCATGTCCGGGGCGGCGGTGCAGGCAAATTACACACAAGAGGTGCGATGCACGTGCACTGAACTAAATGCTCCACATTCGCAGTGACGCACCTAGGCGCCGCCCAGTCCAGAGAGAACGAGCGAACAGTGGTGCGAGTGCTACGGAGGGAGTCGCCCTTGTGGCGCCAAACTCCGAACATCTCCCCAGACAAACAACTGGCACCAGCCCGGGGGACCGGCTGCTGGCGGTGGAAAACAAGGGCCGTCGGCGCTGAAGGCTGGACCACTCAGCGCGCAACCAACGAACACCACCTCAGAATTGTTGGGGCTGGCGGCGACCGACGGACGAGTCGGCACCGGGAAAAGGCCCGGAAGGTGCGCCGAGAACGCAGGCGAGGCATCACACTGGCAAGGCGTCGTCGTCACCCTCACCTCGGTGGACACCGCCGACCTTCCGAGTGTCAGAGTGTCGAGGCTTCGAAAAGGCTCCTGCAGCCCACAGAGTGCGACTTGGCGTGGAGAGGGGGGGTGCAGCTAACCGCCGCGAGATACGCAACTGGATGGCAGCTGCACGCCGAGAGCGCACACACAGACGCGCGCGCACACACACACACACGCGCACACACACAAACACACACACACAGACACGCGCCCATCCATCGGCTCCTCGGGGCCCACGACGTGCAGCTCCCTCTGCGCCACTGCGCCCTCGATCTGTTCGTCCCCAGTGCACGGCGGGCCCAGCCTTGGCAGGCAGAGCTCCCCCAATCTCGTCGTTGCCTGTCTCCTCCTCGTGCTCCTCGATCTCCTCTTTTGTCCGCCAACTGTTTGCGCAACATCGCGGCGAAGTGGGAAGACCAGTGCGGACGACGCGCGCGCCCGAAGGCACAAGCGCAACCAGGGGAATGGCCTCCATTGGTTATCCCCCAAGAGATAGCCTCACCCGCCCGCAAAAGCCTCCTCGACATCCTTCCCTTCCTCCTGCGCCTTGTCGTCACCTTCTCTACTGACTCGCCCTCCAAGCCCCGCGTCTCCCCACGGCAATTCCTGAGGGCGCGATCGCTGTCCTCCTGCTTCCCGACCCCCTCCCCCACCCACGCCCCCCAAGATCAGGGGCTCCGAGCGACCGCTGCCATTTGGTTTTGGCTCCCTGGTTGCTAGGCATGCCCTTCCCTCCGCGTTGCCGTCGCGATCTTGCGACACCCCGGTTGGGCGAGTTTGCTTCTGGAGTTCCATGATTCTGGTCAGGCGCGCCCCACGGGTGACTAAGAGGGGGAGAAGTCAGGCTCGGCGATTTTCTTTTTCCTCAGCAGTACTTTGGCGGTGCAGGCCACGTGCGGTGTTGTTTTACTTCGCCCATGTCGCTTTCGTGATGGCAAGGTGCAGGCTGGGCATTTTGTATCCATTCCTACTGCTCTTCAGCACGGTCCGCCCCAGTCGGCAGGCGAGAGGACGTGCCGCGGGCCTCGTGCCCTTCAAATCGTCCCCCTGTCGGCTGGGCGTATCCCGTCATCTTTTTGTGCAGCCTGGTTGGATGGTATTGTTTATCGCTGTCGGTACAACACACCTTACAGTCATGTGGAGGAACATGAGTTTGTTCGCTGTCTATGTGGGAAGCTTTGTGTTCAAGTTGCCTTTGTGTTTTGGTCTGGGCGCATGCATTTTGAGAGATATGTGCAGGGTAGTTTACGGCCTGGCACTGTTCAGGTTGTGCTGGCAGGATGGTCAGGTGTTCTGGAACCATCGTCGCGTACTGTTTGTGGCGCGCAGGTGCAAGTCCATGTTGAGTCCCTTCAGCATCACGATGAAGGGGGATGTCTCTCGTTTGCTGTTGTCTGGCCATTCAATGGGCTTTTTGGTCACAATGTCTTCGTGTGTTGGTGGGCATGGCAATAGGGTGAACATGTGATTCGTGAGGTGGCACGGTGTCCCGCAGCAGGTAATTGAAAGTCATTTTCGTATGCCCGACTCGCATCGTTTGTGCATGCACGCGCGTGTCTGTCAGTCACCTCGATGTATAAGAGTCTCATGCTTGTAACCGACATGGTCGCAATATCCATAGCTCCATAGCCCCACCCACGCCCCCTCTCCATATCACTCTCGTCCCCTGCCATCTCCTCCCCCTCCCCCGCACTCCCTGTCTTTCCCCGTCGGCCCGCGAGCCTTTCCTGGACCCAGTCCCCCTCCACAATTACACAATATGAATACTACTCTCCTCTCTCCCCTGGCGACAACCTGGAAATATTCGCCCCCCCCCCTCCGCGTACTAGTTGTTTACCCACAGGATTCCGGGGAAACGGGTTTTGCCTTGGCGTTTGTTTCAAAATGCTGTTCTCGCTGAAGCGCTGGCTACCGCTCATTCCGAATCGTGCTCCCGGCGCTGGCCTCATTTCCGCGCTTCCGCTCGTTCCGAATCGCGTTCCCGCTGCAGCGCTGGCGTCGTGATTTAAAGCGCCATGCCACGGCATGTTTGTCGGTCCTTCCAAAGCGGCCCAAAAATCTAAACACAATGCCCCCCGACAAAAACCATCGGAAGTGATTACACATTCGGTGCCGGTTCGTTGATTTTTGGGGCCGCAAGAGCACCCCCCTCCGTCGGGCCCTGGGGACGGCAAAAACGATCCGGCTGGGAAGCGCCGATCCGACTGGACCCCGTGAGGAGTCCAGGGGCCCAGTGCGAGCCGTTTGTTCAAGGAAGCCAGACCACCGAGCCTGGCAGCCCGCCGTAGTAGTCCCTGACATCCGTCCTCCCCCGCCGCAGCTTGCCCCGACGCCGCTGCCGCCGTCGTCGTCTGCGTCGTTGTCGCCGTCTTCAATTTCGGTGCGTTCCCTGGAGCTTCTGGAAGTCTTCGGGCCATCCGCCACGCCTCGTGCAGAGCTGTCGAGGGAACCCAAGGAGACATCGAAGAGGGCTCGGGGAACGCAAGGCAGCGTGTCGAAAGGAAGGGGAGGGGGTCTTACACTATCACAGTACCCCTACCACGGTTGCGCAGGACATGGAGCCGTGATTCAGGACAGGCCTTCTCCTTTCGTACACGGGCCGTTTACCCTCCAAGGCATCTGGTGCCATGCCATGGCATTGAATGCGATGTTGCGTTGTGCTCCGCTGTGCGTGCCATGGTTTGCGATGTTACGCTTTGTGATGCAATGCTATGCTACGCAATGCCAAGCCATGTTATGACATGCTCTGCTCTGCCGCGCCCTTCTACACCGTGCTATGCCGTGCTTTACCATGCATCGCAAATCCTCTCGGGATCATTGCCTTGCTCGACATCAGCCTGTGCGCATCAAGAGGAAATCTGCGCCATGGTAAGGGTTGGGAGGGATGGGGCATGACGACAGATATCACGCGAGCGCACCTAGCTTGCCCTTTCCCCTCTCCCCTCCCCCCGCCCCTCCCACTCCCTACTCCCCCCTCCCCCCCCCCTCCCCAGCCCCGTCCCCGTCTTCTCGCATTGACGCGCCCGCGAGCTCGTCCTGGGACACCATGCCTGCCTGGGTCTGGGCGGCAACTGGGCCCAATCTCACGGGTGTTCCAGGACCGTTTTTACTTCCCGAGTGGCACGGCAAGGGATAGTACCACACAGGGTGACGATCAAATATTGCATGTCCGAGTTAGGCCACTCGAGGACGCGGGGAAAGGGGAAGGGGAAGCGGGGGAGAACGGGGGGAGAGAGGAGGAGGGAGCCTGCTCCCTCCTCCCCCTCCTCCGCCTGCTCCTTCACCGCGGAGCAGCCTGGCTCACCAGCTGCACGATTTGGACTCTCAGGCCTGCCCAGGTCCACCCTGGCGGGGAGCAGAACGTGATGGGCCCTGAGGGCACCAACTGAAGTGGACACCGCTGGGCCCCAGCTTCGCGCAACCCTGACATGTAAGCCTGCGCCCCTCGAGTGCGAGCTGATCCCAGCGCTGATCCCAGCGGAGCTTGGGAAGGGCATTGGAAGGGGGGGAGGGGAGGGGGAGACCATGGCCGGGGGCCCGCCCAGGCTGAGTGCCGGAGCGCGGCTGACATGACGCCGTGAACCGCATCGTTCGCTCGCTGGGGCTGCGCGAGGCCGCGGCCCCAAAGCTTTTACATCGGGTGATCTTGGCGACGGATCCTGGGCAGGCCCTGGCACCGATGGCCGGAGAGGGAATCCAGCTTCGACCCCGATGCAGACAGCGAGCGCGCAACCAGAGGCCCTAGCCCCCCCCCCCGAAATGTCAGTTGAGACCAGGGGGCAACGGATGAGCTGGTCTCAAGGGAGAGCGCGGCCGCTTGACCGCGACTCGAGTGAAGTCTCGGGGACGGGGGCGGACAGCAAAAAGGCGAATAGTACCACTGGACCGAGACAGCACATGGGGGCGCGTACGCTGCTCAGAACTCATTGTCCTAGGCGGTCTCTGGATACCTCGTCCTACTCATCACAATTTGCTCCTCCCCCACATTTCCCCCCCCACTCCTCCTCATCCTCCTCCTCTTCCTCCTCCTCCTCTTCCTCCCTTCCTCCTCCTGCCTTCCTCCTCCTCCCTTACTCCTCCTCCTGTTCCTCCTCCTCCTCCCCCTCCTCCTCCGTCAATTCCAGGGATGCGTACTGCGGCAGAGCTTCAGGGCCCAAGACGGTAAACTCCCTGGGCTCGGGAAATTCGTCGCCGGTATCCGGACAGCCAGGATGTCTTTCCAGGCGCTGGCCTCACGCATGCTCGACTTGTCCAGGAGGCCGTCAGCAAATCAGGTCATGCGCGTGTGGCCCAGTGGACCACCAGGTTGAAAGGCATGGTCCGCCCATGCCGTGGGCCAACCGTTTGTGATAGACGTGATACGTTAAATTTCGTTGGGCGGCGAAAACAACGATGGGCAGTTGTAGCAGCTTGACCAATACATCGAGGAGTTGAAAAGACAGGATGCGTAAGAGTCTTTGGGGAGAAGGCAAAAATGGGCGGCGGAATCAGCTCAGAAGGGCGAGCGTGCTGCCCATATTTGTTCTTGCAAAGCCTTGACATATCGCAGTTGCCAGTTTTCGATTCCTGTCGACCGAACTGATGTTCCAATCAACGGGGATGAGGCCGTCCAGACCTTAATTGAACAGTGTATGCCGCGCTGGTGTCAGGAGAGGATGGCTGGCCACGCGCACCCCTCACGGTGGGGCGTCCGGGGCGACGCCTTGCCTCCAATCGAGCTGGACCACCTCATCAAAGCACGCAAAAGATATTACGAGTCGGCGGGTTATGGGTGGGACGCTTTCAACCCCAGGCTCATTATGACTCTAGCTCAGGGTCCTGGATCTACGACGTGGCTTCGAGGAGGCTCCAAAAGTGCAGTCTTGCATGTTGGCAACAAAAATTTTCTGGAATCGGAGGCAACAGCGTGAAATGGGGACTCCCCGCTGCAATGTCCCAGCGGAGAACCGCGGGTCACGCCCAGAGGCCGCGAGGAGGACATCCACCTCCATCCTCCTTGACGTCCACCACCTCATCCTCCTCGGTCCTCCGCAACAAGCACCTGCTCGTGCACCGTCTCAAACCGCACCACCCTGGCATCCCCCTCCCCATCGCGTCCCTCCTCCTGGCCACCGTGGCCCTCCTCCTCCTCCTCCTCCTCGTCGTGCTGCTCCTCCTCCTCCTCATCCTCCTCGTCCTGCTGCTCCCCCTCCTCCTCCATTACCTCCTCCTCGCCCTCCTCCCCCACCTGCTCCTGCACCAGATCATGTATAAGACGCGGCAGACTGCGTGAATAAGACGGCGCCGATGCAAACATATCCGCGGGCAACTTGCGCGCAGGCGAACGCGCAATCGATCCCCGCGGCATCGCCCCCCCCCCCCCCCCCACACACAAACTTCAAACTAGGCGGTGCAACGGGCCGCTTCTGTCAAAGCCTCGTCTCCCCCTTCGGGGGCGGCTAACCCGCCCATCACGCTAGCAGACCGCGGAGACCTTGGATGAGAAATGCAAGGTCTGGAGCCTCGTGGAGATCCACTTGCGTGGAACGGGGGGTGGGGGGGAGTTGTCCGCCCCCAATCATTGTGTCCGTCTCCTCCCCCCCCTTCCTCCACCCCCCCTTCTACTTCCCCCTCCCCCCCGCGCCCCATCCCCCCCCAAAAAAAGCCCACCCACCCTTGATCCGCCTCAGATCCCCTGGGGGAGGACGGCAGGCGAGCGGCGCGGTTGCAGTTGCGCGCCCGCGGGCGGTCTGAAATGTGTCGCCCAGGTGCGGTTGCGGTCGCGCGCCCGCGGGCGGGTTGAAATGTGTCGCCCAGTTGCGGTTGCGGTTGCGCGCCCGTGGGCGGGTTGAAATGCGTCGCCCACTTGCGGTTGCGGTTGCGCGCCCGCGGGCGGGTCGAAATGCGCCGCGTAGTTGCCTTTGCGCGCCCGCGGGCGGGTTGAAATGCGTCGCCCAGGTGCGGTTGCGCTTGCGCGCCCGCGGGCGGGGTGAAATGCGTCGCCCGGCTGCGGTTGCGGACGCGCACCCGCGGGCGGGTCGACATGTATCGCCCAGTTGCGGTTGCTGTTGCGCGCCCGCGGGCGGGTTGAAATGTGTCGCCCAGTTGCGGTTGCGGTTGCGCGCCCGCGGGCGGGCTGAAGTGCGTCGCCCAGTTGCGGTTGCGGTCGCGCGCCCGCGGGCGGGTCGAAATGCGTCGCGCAGTTGCGGTTGCGGTTGCGCGCCCGCGGGCGAATTGAAATGTGTCGCCCAGTTGCGGTTGCGGTCGCGCGCCCGCGGGCGGGTCGGAATGTGTCGCGTAGTTGCGGTTGCTGTTGCGCACCCGCGGGCGGGTCGACATGTGCCGCCCAGGTGCGTTTGCCTTGGCGCGCCCGCGGGCGGGTTGAAATGCGTCGCCCAGGTGCGGTTGCGGTTGCGCGCCCGCGGGCGGGTTGAAATGCGTAGCCCAGTTGCGCTCGCGCGCCCGCGGGCGGGTCGAAATGCGTCGCCCAGTTGCGGGCGGTTTTGGTTGCGCGCCCGCGGGCGGTTTGAAATGCGTCGCCCAGTTGCGGCTGCGGTTGCGCGCCCGCGGGCGGTATGAAATGTGTCGCCCAGTTGCGGTCGCGGTTGCGCGCCCGCTGGCGGGTTGAAATGCGTCGCCCCATTGCGGTTGCGCGCCCGCGGGCGGGTCGGCATGCGTCGCCCAGGTGCGGTTGCGGTTGCGCGCCCGCGGGCGGTATGAAATGTGTCGCCCAATTGCGGTTGCTGTTGCGCGCCCGCGGACGGGTCGAAATGCGTCGCCCAGTTGCGGTTGCGCGCCCGCGGGCGGTGTGAAATGTGTTGTTCAAGGCGCCCTCCTGACGTTCAGTCAGTCAATCAGTCAGTCAATCAGTCAGTCACCAGCGGGCGCGGAATTTCACCGGGCTCCGCCGGGAACAGACAGATGGAGGTGCACGGCCAATCGAGCTGCCGCGCTTCTTCATGGAAGTGCGGTCGAAGTGTCAACCCCCAGCAAGAGATGGTAAGTGGAACACCCCGCCTCGACGCGTTGGGACCCGGGCCCCGACTCAACACGTGAGAGCGCGCAGGCTGGGTGCACGATATACGGGCGCACTTTGGGCCCTGTGCTGGCACGGCGTCGGCGGCGGCGCTGCTAGACTTCAAAAACCTCCACGGGCACAACGCCTACCAAGACTTCTACCATGCTGCGACCGAGCACAAGTTTGACATGCATCTCTTGCGTGGGCTGCGCGCGATGCACGCAGCAGCGCGCGTGCTACACTGCGGGAGCTATGTCTCGGGGGCGCTGGTGGCCAACGGAAGGCTCATCGCTGGAAGCTCAGCTGCGAAGACGCTGGCTAAATTGTTGCTGATGGGCCCTCTGGCCCTCGCACAATGCGGGGTGCCCCAGCTCGCTGTCATAGACGTGATAGATGGCATAGCGCTGCAGATCGTCGCCCCGCCAGATGTCGCGGTCTCTCACCTGGCGGGCGGCGCGAAGGCCCTGCTCTCCAGCTTCGAGCAGCTCGGGCTGCCCATGTCGAGCAGGTCAGCAACGCTGAGCCGAGAGACCGCAGCCAGACATCTCGTGTCGGGACCACAGGTCTAGGGGACAGGAGCGCTTGGTCGAGCCAATCAGACGGCTGGGGCCAAAGCCGCCTGGGTCAAGAGAGCGAGCGCAACAGCCTCAGCCCTTTGGGGCACCTATATCGCTGGAATACCGCCGTCGAGGATGCAGGCGCTAAGTCTTGCGGCCCTGGGCAGTCTTGGCAAAGTCCCGAAGAGAATCACGATATGTTGGAGGTTCCACAGACACAAGGACGGACCCAGGACGGACGCGCTCATCTCGAGCATCGATCATGTCCCTGTGGGCGCAGGCGACCGGGAAGTCCTTCTCGAAACCTGGCGCGACGCAGACATGCACGGGGGGCGCGGCGGCCAGGACGTCGAATTTGAAGGCCCCATGGGCGGCCGCAGCGGCGCCAGCTAAACGAAAGCCCATTGCACGCGCGCAGATGTCGATTTGGGGCTCTCCACGGAGTGGGAGCAGCGAGCAAACAAAACAGCCGACGAGTGCGGCAAAAAGGGCGGCAACACACGGCGTCGGCCAAATTTTTTCTGAGCTCTGGCGCGGCCCGACCGAGTGCGCGCACGAGGCGGCCGCTTGGGCCGCAGAGGCGCACATTCAGGTGGACGGGCAGGACCACGAGGACCTAGTGGACCTCTGCCTCGCCCAGCGCCAAAGCCAGGCTCGCCTTCCTGCCAAAGGACCCGCCAGCCCCGACCTTCAGCCCGACCAGGAGCCGCCCGAGGATCCTGGAGGACTTCGGGTGGAGGAATTGGTGGTTGGGTGTGGGGCCTGCGTGGGAAGAGTTTTCTCGGATGAGTTTCAGGTGGCGGCGACATATGTTGCTTCAGGCCGAGGTCGAAGGCTTGAGGTACGATGATCCTTTTGTGAATGATCCTTTTTGTGTTGACGTTGTGAAACTATGAGCTCGAACGGTAAATTAACGGCGTCGAATTATGAAAGGTGCCCTGGCCGAGTAAAGATACTCATTATCAGTTGAGACAGATTTGCAAAGGTGAATTCCCTCCATCACAGAGCGGGGGTCAAGCACCTACTTCTATCCCGCCCACACGGGGTGTTGCCCGCGGTCAGAGAAGCCATGCAGGCGCACGCTGACACGGCGGTGGTCCCCTCCAGCGGCACTGCCCTGTCTCGTTCGACTTGGGGGATGGGGGGGGGATGGGCGAGACGAACAGCTGAAAACTTTCGGGCTGACGGTCGAGGACCGCCCGCGAGTGCTCGCTGTGGGTCGTCAAGCGATCCAGCGTCGGCCGCCTCTGAGGACCCCGACTTTGAGGAGGGTTCGGAAGAAGGTGGCTAGTTTCTCTGCACTGCCTTTAGGGCCAACCCAGACCAAGCCAAGCCTCCTCCTCCTCCTCCTCCTTCTCCAATCCCCTTTCAGACTGTTATACGCTCCCCACCCTGCCAGACACGAGACCAGCGCAACGTCGCCCCTCCTGGCCAGGCCTCGAAGCCATCGCTGCGGGAGGGCCCGAAAAGAAGAACCCGATCAGCGAAAAGGGGCCGGGGGGCGGGAGCGCTCCAGCTGATCAAGCCCGCTGGAGCACTCACGCCTGCCATTCGCTGATGGGCCTGCTCCCGCGGCGCGGCGAGACCACTCACGATCCATTCCCGGTGTCCATGCCCTCGCGAGCTGGGCACCGAGTCGCGACCCCACGGATACGTCCCGCGCGGGGTGGAACTAACGGCGAAGCCAGGATCTCGGGGAGGGGAGGGCAGCGCGGCATTGGTATCTGCTCCTCATACGACTGCGGCGAGGCTGGGCCCGCGGCATCCAGCAGCAGCCCCGGCAGGGCCCTGGCGCCCCCACGGCAGAGGCGGCGGCGGCGCCCGCCAGGACGAGCCACCGGGGCGCGCCGGCGGGGTGCTCCTCCTCGGGCTGCTCGCGAGAGCGATCCCATGACGTGACCCTTGGTGCGCGGGCGGCGTCTGGGGGAGAGAGTTGGGGTGAAGGGGGGGGAAGCCAACCCAAGCGCGCAAGCCGATGCTGTCGCGTCACATTCGAAGATCTGGGAGCCCTAGCGGGCAAACTCCAAAGGTAAAGGACCAGTCTTGCCCGAGAACGTACAGGTGGGGATGGGCAGCAGAACATTTGGATCACATTAGGTATACGACCCCTTGAGGACGACCCCTGGAGGAGGCAAAGATATACCAGCCTCAGGCTGGGTTCGTTACCTGTCCCCACCTTAGACTCCCATCGCTCGGATGTCCACTTCACGTGCATTTGTCGGTTTCGTGCGTGCGTGTTACTGTCGCATGATGATCCAAAATACTTCAAAATGGTCAAAATGTTCTGGCGCTGGCCCCGCCAAGAAAACGCACACGCCCGGGCGATGCCAATTTGGGGCAAACCTTGGGAAATCCATACCGTCCTCGGTAGACGAAGGAACTTTCGACGGTCCGCGCGGACTTCTTGGATCTGCGCTGGGCCCCTCTCCCTGGCGCGCAGAGGGATCCCACCGCAGATCCCAGAAATCCGCGCTGAGCGCCGAAAAATATAATTATGCAATTTTTCTCTTCGAACAAAAAAACGCTCTTCGTAACCGTAACCCTCAGCTTGGGTATCGCCGTCTCCTCCGCGCCCTGGTCCGGGGGCGGCGGGCGCACGACACCGTGTGCCCCTTCGCTCCCAGCAGGACACCCGGGACCGGCACCCACGCGACGCCTGGCCGCATGACCAGCGCGCCGGACGTGCGCGAACGTGGCGTAGCTCCGGATAGACAGCTCGGCCCCGAGGTTCGGGTCGGAAGAGAGGCAGGGTTAGGTGAGCCTTCATGGAAGACTCCGTGGATTTCTGCGGCCCTATCATAAACATTTCGAACCAATTTCGTCCAGATTTCGTCCAGGGGTCGAGCGAATCCGACGAAATCCGGACGAATTCCCTAAAACAGAAAAAGGAATTGTACCCTCTGAGGCTTCCACGAAAGACTGCACAAAGGGGGGTAGCAAAACGGGGCTTAACCGATCGGCTCACGCAGCTGGTTTTCCCCGCGCCTCCAGGCGCCAGAGGCGCCCATGCATTGAGAAAAGCGCCTGGCGGCAGGGCCGAAACCAGCTACATGCAGACAAGTCGTAACCAGCCCCCGGATTTCTGTAAGACTAGATCGGCGGGCGGGTAGAAAAATAAGGACGTCTGCAGGCAAGTGAACACTAGCGGGGGTGTCCGATGCCCCAGCGTCGATTGGACCCGCAAGGACAGGGCTCGCAATGGAGCAAAGAAAAAAAACGGGTCTCACGCGCGATGGAATAAAGACCTCACTCCGCGGGTTACGCAGGCCGTCAGCGGTAAAACCGCGTGGAGAAAAGGGTGCGCAGGTGCGACCTTACGCAGGAAACTTACGCGCGACGGTCCGCACAGTCGCCCCGTTTGCAGACTCCCCCAACTTTCGTCCGACCCGAGAGGGTCAGGCCATACACCTCCGGCACCGTGAGCCTCCGGAGGTGCTCGCTCGCGCCCAGGGGGCTGGATGCCAGGGCGTCGCCCGCCGCCTCCGGGGCCGGCGCGTAGACGGCCAGCGCGCCGCGCTCAGCCAGGTACAGCACCTCCTCTCGGGCGTTGCAAAGATGAAGCCAAAGAACTCTCGAGCTCTGATTGCGCATGTTTCCCCAACCATCCTGTGGCGTTGGGTCCTCGTTTTGACTCGTTCACTCCTCATTCCTCCTCCCCCTCCTCCCGCCTCTCGCTTCTGCCCTCCGCATGTCCTCATCAGTCACCACATCTCAGACACTTCGTGGCCCTACGAGCTTCACCGAAGGCCCCAGTGACAGGAATCACATGCGCCCCCAAAATGGCTCTGGAACCTAGGCCCATTGGGGCATAGTTACACCTCACACGTGCAGTGGACCCATAGGGGGACCATCGAAGGCCGCAGTGGCAGGCATCGCACGCCCCCCCCCCCCCGCCCCACTTTGAAACAAATCGCGGACGTGATCCACAGAGAGGTGCAACCTATCCGCAACACCATCAACTGCCTCGAACCCCGCCTCAATGAGATCAGCGGGCACATCGACACCAGGATGGAGGAGGTGGAGGAGAACATCGAGGACATCAGCATTCGTATCACAAACCTCGAGAACCAATCCAGCGAGCAATCCGACACTCAAGCCAACCCTCGGAGCGTTGGCACGGCCATCTGGGACCGCATCCAGACGCTTCAGGTAATTAGAGATCTCGCAATTGAAGGTGACAGGCAAACCACACCACAATTCTGGTAACATTTGTTCACTCAACGTTGGGGACAAGAGGCATGTTACTGCAGTGGTCGGCAACCTGTGCGGCTTCGCCTCCTTCAATGACGCCTCCAACTGGCTTAAGGCGGAGATTCTAAAATTGGGGGCACCAGCGAGCACAAATATCGATGTGAAAAGCGATTTCCAAGACATCATTTTCTGCGAGTTTGGCGACACAGAGGCCCGGGACACTACTGTGGCGCAGGTACGCACTGCCAAGTTCAAGAGGAATGGGTGCATAATTCTGTGCTCTCTGGACCGCCTCCCCCTCGTGCGAACAGCTCGGAACTTGAAGTCGGGATTCAAGTACGGACGAGTTACGGACGAAAGCCCCTACACTGTTGAGGTGAGCGGAGAGCATGCCCTGCCAATACGGGCCCTGCCAAACACGCGTCCTGGACACGGGCAAAATTACCGAAGCCGGGCGTTGTGCCGCAGCTATTGTCTCGAGTATGGAAACTTCTGGGAACCAGCTCGCTGATCATCCAGGCATGGAAAAAGACACCAGAGCCAGGATCGGTCATAGGGAAGCTCCCCAGAGAGAAGCAACGCATGACTACACACAATGTGCCCTCCTACATTCTGCTTTCCCCTCTTCTCCCTCACCAAATTTTTCATCGGATGCGACGGTCGCGAAGTCCACACAAACGTGGGGAGAGACGCCTTGCTCGCACGCACAATGATCCAGCGAAATATTTCCACCTTCTTGTTTCGCTGTTCCTTCATGGTCTTCTACATCATCACCGTCCTCCGCCCGCATTCGTGCACAAAGTCACGGAGACGATCCTTTTCCACCCCACTCTACTGACAGCTCTGCTTGGGGCAGACCGCGGTCCAGATGCAGAAGTTGCTCTCTGGGGAGGATTGGCACTTGGAACGTTAAAAGCTTTACGGGGTGATTCGATCATTAAAGTTGACAAAATTATTCAAGCAACGCACGAACGTAACTTGGACGTCATTTGTATACAAGAAACACACTTACATGGAGCCGAATATTATGCACGACATGGTTATACAATTTTCTTGTCTGGAGATCTGGATACCAAAATGTGTACTTATGCAAGGGTAAGCTTCACAGTAACACCGTGCGTAACATCAAATGTGGTAGCACTCAAGGACTGCAATGGCCCGGTGGCTTCGCTACGTCTTAAGATGAAGGATCGCATGCTTACGCTTTTGTTTGTCTAAGCCCCACAGAGCAGTCATGATTATTCTGAAGGTCCGCCTTCTATGTCGATTTGCAGAGATGTCGATTTGCAGAGTAGCATACGCTCCACAGCTAGTCACATAACAACATATATCTTGGGAGACTTCAATGCGACATTGGGGCGCCGGGGAACAGGCAATAATAATATGATTGGGCCTCATGGCTTTCCATGTCTTGCGGCTGGCAAAAATGCTGGTGCAATCGGTCACTGAGCTCAAGGCGACAACCGGGCAACACACCGACACATATTGTTGACATTGTTTTGCTCTTGACCCCGACATTGCGACCACGTTCCACGAGCAACCGGATAAACAGAAAGTGGCATGCAGAAATCTGGGGGTGAATCAGTCTGGCGACGGAATATGTAATTCAACAGTTTCTCAAATAGACCATGTTATGTACCATCAAACTGTACGCCATACGTTTGCCGACATTTGGACCAGCCGGGAAGATGTTCTTCGCAGCCAGCATTACTCAGTGATTGCAGAGACAAATTTGAAGTTCAATGTAGAGCATCACCCTCGGAAGGCGAAGGCAGACACGACCAGATTGAAGGATCCGACGGTCAGGTCGAAATTTGTACCGTAGCACCCCGCGGATGAGAGTGAGGGAGCGGTGGCGGCGTCGGCAGTCTGCGAGACTCTGGAGAAGCCCGCCGCAGGCGCCAGAATTCACAAATTATACAACGAGCCCGCCGCAGGCGCCGATTTTTTCGTTAAACCAATGTGGGTAGGTCGCGGGTGGGTCGCGGCTGGGTCGCAAATGGGTCGCGGCTGGGTCGCGCTGGGTCGCGGCTGGGTCGCGGGTGGGTCGCGGGGTGGGTCGCGGGGTGGGTCGTGGGGTGGGTCGCGGGTGGGCCGCAAATAGGTCGCGGGTGGGTCGGGGGGGTCGCGGGGGGTCGCGGGTGGAATCGCGGTCGCGGGGGGGCGGGGGTGGGGGTGTGTTGCGGGGTGGGTCGTGGGGTGGGTCGCGGGTGGGCCGCAAATAGGTCGCGGGTGGGTCGTGGGGTGGGTCGCGGGTGGGTCGCGGGTGGAGTCGCGGGGTGGCTCGCGGGTGGGTCGCGGGGTGGGTCGCGGGGTGGGTCGCGGGGTGGGTCGTGGGGTGGGTCGCGGGTGGGCCGCAAATAGGTCGCGGGTGGGTCGCGGGGTGGGTCGCGGGGTGGGTCGCGGGGTGGGTCGCGGGGTGTGTTGCGGGAGGGTCGCGGGTGGGATGACGACAACAAACAAACAACAACAACGCAACAGCGCAACAAATATAATCCTCACCACGGGTCCCCACTTCAACTACGCACCCAAGGACAATGAATGACCGTTCGGCCCCTCACTCTGATCTATGTTCCTCGATGCTGACGAAGCTCATCCAGAGTCAACGGATAATGTGAACAGTGCCGACATACGTATACAAATTAGTTTCAGCGAAAACATCTGGAGCGATGCAGGCGTGGACAAGCAAGCGCACACTGGATCTGATAGAGGAGCGCTGTATGACCCGCAGGCGCGGGGATTATAAAGCAGAACAAGCACTACATGCTCGTGCTCGCAACTCTGGAAAGAAACATCGTGCTGATTGGTTGGATTGGCTACTCAAATACGGCGGCTGGGACGCAGCCCGATACCTCAAGAAACCCAGAACCATCCAACATGCATCCATCAAGCGACTGGATGGGGGCCTGGCAGACACTCAAAATCGAACAAACGTCTTGGCTGACTACTTCGAAGACGTCCAGTGGCAACTTCGATTTCCAGACCAGGCACGAAAGGCACAAGAGCTGGTGGGAGGTGTATTACCGATCTCCACATGCAATTTCACGCTTCTGGAACTATCTGCAGCAATATTCAAAAATGATTTCATTGTGCCATCAATGTTAGATGTAAAAAAACAAAAACGGACTCTTGGAGACGGGCAAATGTAATTCGATTGTTCAAAAAGGGAGGCACAACTTTGCCATCAAACTACCGGCCGATATCCTTGCTCGTTGCCAGCTGTGGGCTACAAAATGCTGGCATCAATGCTACACCAAAGGTTACTGGATGGAAACGCTGAGTCAAGAATGCGGGCGTCCCGATTCGGTTTCAGACTCGAGCGGGGCACGTCTGACGTCTTGATGCTCGTCCAGCGCATGGTTGATGCTGCTTACTCCAACAACGACGGTGGCATGCTTTTGGCCATGTTGGACTGGGTAAACAGCTTTTGACAGATTACAGCCAAGTTACATGTGTGAAACTCTGCGCCGCTTAGGACTTCCAGTAATGCTCGCTATTTCAATATTGTTGACCACACAGGGAACTATTGTTGACCACGCAAAGAGCTCCACAGAAAGACAACAGAGAGCTGGGATTGCTGAGGGTTCCCCCTTTTTCACCTTACGTGTTCATTGCAATTCAATCAGCTATGCTGCACGACGCGCTGAACGATATCCAGTACGACCCTGACCTGGAGTACGGTGTGACACGAGATATGTTGCATGCGGACGGCACGCTTTTAGCTTCGCAGAGCAGCCTCAACCTCCAGAACATGCTGAACGCAATCGTGACAGAAGGCGCAAAATATGGCCTGGTGATAAACTGGGTGAAGGCACTACAAAGGGAGATAAACACGAATTAACATGCATGTCAGCTGGATGGGGTGATATCACATGAATACGAGACGCAGTGTACTTGGGTGGGCCTATTACGCGCGACGCAACAACAGCAGCAGCCAACTTATCGCGCACACTGGGAGAAGCCACTGGGGCATTTAACTCGCTATCCAAGAGTTGGTTGCACTCTTCAATCGGGTGGGAGCGCAAATGCTCCATAAACGACGCCTGCGTTCTCAGCAAGCTCTTATACCCGTTGGATTCCATCTGGCTCTGAAAAGCCGACCGGCAGCGACTGGACGCTTTCCATGCCAGATGCGTCAGGCGTCTCTTGGGCGTTTCGTGTTCGTATTTCTCGAGAGTGAATAACGCATACGTTTTTCAACGAGCTGGCACAGCGCTGCTTTCGGACACACTGTTATCAAAACGAGTACTGCTGTACAAGAAGATCGCGGCATTCTCCGGCACCTCCCTCGTGCGGCAAGTACTCTGCAACGACGACGGGACACCGAAGACTTTCATCTCCAATCGGAAACGCGGCCGGCCGCGGCAGCAATGGGGCAAAAAAGTACATGCATTGACACAGTGCACGTAGCTGTCCCTCCGCGCCCTCCCCCACTGCCTCTTCAAAGCGTGCTGAAGCGACAATTTCCTGCGGTGCGTCCCATGCACGTTTCTTTCTTACGAAGAGCAGCCAACCGCGCTCTTTCTGCCTACGCGTCCTGCCGGATGCTTGGTTTCCTGCACACGTTTCGCAGCCCCAAAAGGAGCTCCACCACAGGCCGCACTGGCAGGAATCACATGCGCCTCCCCCGCCCATTTTAGCACGCCGCTCACATGTTTCGCGGCCCTTTAGGGGGCCCGCCGAGGGCCGCACTGGCAGGAATCACAAGCGCCCACGCACCCACGTTGGCCGGAATCACATGCGCCACACCTCCATTTTGGCACGCCCCTCACACGCTTCGCGGCCGCATGGGGCACCGAAAGCCGCAGTGGCAGGAATCACATGCGCCCCCCCAACAAAAATGTGGCACGCCCCACACACGTGTTGCGGTCCCGTAGGGGGCCCCACCAGATGCCGTAATGGCAGGAATCACATGCGCCCTCCCCGCCCAATCTGGCACACCCCTCATTCGCGTCTTGACCCCGGAAGGGACCCCGGAAGGGGCCCCACCGAAGGCCGCAGTGGCAGGAGTCACATGCGTCCCCAAGCCCATTTTGGCACTCCCCATCACACGCTTCGCGGCCGCATAGGGGGCCCCCCATCGAAAGACGCAGATGCAGAAATCACGTGCGCCCACCCCAGCGCATTCCGGCACGCCCCTTACACGCTTCATGGCCCCATAGGGAGCTCCACCGACTGGCAGGAATCACATGCGTCCCCCCGCCCCTGTCGCCCACCGCCCCCCTATCCTTCTTCTCGCCTTCCTCGCGATGCGATGCCCGCAACTGCATCTGGTTGGGTCCTTCGCCAGGCTATTTGTACTCTGCCTGGTTGTAGAGCACGTCGACAGATTTCTGGATTTGAGCCCCAGCGGCTTCGGAAGACCTACAGGATTGCCTGCACTCCTGTCTACAACAAATCATGTGTATATATATATATACACATATATATATATAACATATATTTGCAAACACTCGCTGTTCCTGGCCCCAAGCGCCCCCAGGATTCTGAGGGAGACCCCCACAGCCTCCAGAGCACCCCTCGCGAGACCCGGGGCCCAAGGAGCCCTGGGAGCTCCAGAATTGCGCGACGAGCTGGGGACACCTGTGTGCAGGAACGCCCTCGGCAACCGCTCGGTGTACACGCCGTCCTGGCCTGGCCAGGAAGGCGCAGACAGAGATCCTGGGCCCAAGATCGGCCCGCCAAGAACACCGGGTGCTCTCGGTCGACTTCGGGCCCCACGGCTCTCCCAGATCGATGCGGCTCGAGAAATGCCGCAGACGGATGGGGGTTAGGGCTCCGGCTGGGATTTTGATGATGTTGCAGCTTTTCAGCGACATCGGATCTCGGGGCTTGGCACCTCCCGAGTCGACGCCAGCGTCGCCGTGGCGCCGCTCTCGCCTGGAGGGGGGAAGCGCTATAGCGTCGCAGCGTGACGACTGCAGCGGCGACGAGGACCACGGCGACGCCGACGAAGACGACGACGACGACGTCGGCAGATACGACGGCGGCGACGACACCGCCGTCGCCATGGTCGTCATCGCTGCCGTCGCCGCCGTCGTGGCCGTCGCTGGGCCCCCAATCCTCGGGCTCCAGTACCCACTCGCCGGACTCCCTGCGGCCAAACGACTCGACGACCTGGCCGCGCCTCCTGGTGAGCAGCCCCCGCCTCTGCACCGGGCAGTACACCGCCGCGCACTCGGCGGGCCGCTCGTCCTGGGCTTTCCTCTGCTCCTCGTAGACCTCACGTGGGGTGCGCAGGGGCGGTGGCTAAGGATGGATGCTGCTGCAGCACTGCCGATCGTGGGTCCCGCTCTAGCGATCGTGTGTCGGGGACTCGGCCTCGAACGCTGGACACCACAGCGAGGAAAGACGAGAAACTGGCGACAACCCAAGACAATGATGAGGGCGACCAGTTCAACACGTCCCATAAACTCCTTCCTTACCTCCGAGGAGGGAGGGAGGGAGGGAAGGGCTCCTTTCGTCATCATCCTCCACCTCCTCGCATTGCCTCCCACTCTCCCCAGCTCGCTCCCCCGCCCCGCCCTCGGCCCTCCTCTCGCCTTCGCATGACCTTTCGTCTGCTAGGCAAGGTGCTGGCTGGATGGGGGAGGGAAGGACAGACAGGACAGGACATCCGCATAAAGGGGTTCAACGTCAAAACACCTACGCTGGTTCCTTGCGCGCTTCTGACAAAATCCCCTGCGATTGGTTGTGCAACGGCCCTGCCTTCTGACTAGGGAGGGAAAGACAGAAGGCGGGGGAGGAGTCCCCCATCCCTCCTCCCCCTCCCTCCTCCTCGCTCGCTCGCAACCCCAGGACCATCGAGATAAACGCAGCCAACTCCCGAGACAACACATCGAATTCAGAGCATGCGTAAGCCAGGGCCTAAGGCCCCAGAGGCACAGGGAGGGGATGGTGGCTAGCGCAGTCGGAGCCCACAGCCTTCTGCGAAATGGGTCGACGGGGACGTGGAACGCCCGAAAGGGCGCAGGGGGCAGAGGGGCCCCCTTCCAATCGCCCTCCTGCTCGGGGAATCGGCCCCCGATCTCACCCAAAGAGGCGTCAGCAAGGAATTCACACAAAGGGGCGGGATAGCACCTGGCGTAGGCCTTGCGCCAATCTCTCGTGGACCTGCTTGGTACCCGGGAGACTGCACAGGCGTTGTATGTCCGCAGGGGGTCATACCAGCAGGATGGAGGAGCGTACGGTCTGAGGATGGAGACTGAGGGATGCCTCAACACCATGAGCACAAGCGCAAGAAACACCGAGCACAGAAAACGGATGGTGAGGCGGAGCAGTCTGTTACACTCCCTGTCGAGAAAAACCTGGAGATTACCATCCTTTCTGACACTTGAAGCGCACGGGCAGCTCAGGCATCCTGCCAGAGTGAGCAATGGACAGAGACTGCTCAGGAGCGGGTGGGGCGGGAAGACCGCCTTCGGGATGTGGACAGGAACAGTGGACTCGACATGTCTCCTGTCTTACGCCTGTGGGCCAATGATGCGAAAGTCAGGCTGCTGAGCAACATTGTCGTGCTTCCCTATATTCCGATTCTCGGCAACGTCGTTTCATCATTGCCGGCGTCGCGCTGGACCGATTCGCTTCAACAAATCCTACAGGCAGGAAAACGCTCGAGGTGAGCGAGCAACCTGCTGCGAGAGTAATCTTCTCTACACCCTCATGCAGACAGCGCGAACAGTGCAACAACCTAAAAGTTGAGGTCATCAAGAGATGGGAGTTGCGTTCTCCCCCTGTGCATCCAAATCGTCTTTTCGATCTCGCACGTGAGGCCACACTCGCAGTAAGCGAACACTTCTCGTTTCATCGACACACCCGGGGATAGGGAGGCGGGACCCAGACGCCATGAGCTCAAATTATTCTTGGAAACAGCGAAGCTCGTAGAGATCAGTGTGGTTGTACTTCCCCTTCATCTCCACCTCCTCCTCCTTCTCCTCACCCTCCACCTCTTGCTGCGCCTCCCCTCTCCTTCCCTCGTTCCCCCTCGCCCCGACCTGGACCTCCATCCCTCTCCCTCCTGGCAACGACCTCGCGCAGGCTGCGCAAAGCGCGCAACACCTCCGACTCGCGGGCCAGCAGCTCCGTGGGGTCCGCAGACTCCCAACGGCGCCCGAACTTGAGCAGCCTGCCCCGACGGAGCAGCTGGAAGCATCCCCCGGCCCCCGGCCGCATGGTGAGGATTCTCAAGGAGGCGGGCCCTGAGGTCTAGGCGTCGCAATTCTTCAACACCTCGTGTTTCCAGGCTCGGGGCCCGGGGCCTTCGCGGATCGAGCTGGTTCACATGTATCCTCCTTCTTCTCACTCGAATGAGCAAGGCTGCCCCATTTCTTTGTTCCAATGCATGCTCCCACACTTCCCTGATCAGAGCAAGTCGCTTGGGCATTGTTTCTGAATGAACTGATCGTTGATGAATGGACCAGTGTGGGTACGCGGCGCGACAATGCTTAGCACATTTATATGTATACACATATATATATATGCATACATACATATACCACATTGTTTATAAGTATGTTACCTCTTATATACATGTATACACACGATGATCATGCGAAAAAAAAACAATTCCGAATCGTTTTCGGGCAATAGGGCTGTAGGGCAATAGGGCTAAAGACCTATAGTGCTACAGGACTATAGGACTATAGGACCATAGGGCTATAGGGCTGTAGGGCTGTAGGGCTATGGGGCTATGGGGCTCTGGGGCTCTAGGGCTCTGGGGCTCTCGGGCTATGGGACTATAGGGCCATAGGGCTATAGGTATATAGGGCTATGGGGCTACAGGGCTGTATGACCATAGGGCTATAGGACTGTAGAGCTATAGGCGTATAGGGCTATAGGTCTGCAGGGCTACAAGGCTATAAGGCTGTGGGGCTGTAGGGCTATAGGGCCATACGGCTACAGGGCTATAGGGCTATTGGGCGATTGGGCTAAAGGGCTATAGGGTTATAAGGCTATGGGGCTATAGGGCTATAGGGCTATAAGGCACCCGGTCACCTAGGCACCTGGGCACCTGGGCACCTAGTCACCCGGGCACCTGGGAACCTCGGCGGGCCGCGGAAATCGGTGACACACCTCACCTAACTATGGGAATCCGCTAGGACCCCTACAGAGGCAAGCTCTGATTGGGGAATATGTCCACGAACGACCTGGGGTCACGGACGCCCGTTGGTCTGAAACTTGTGCGCCACCCTGCCTGGCATCCTCGTGAAGGTCGTTGAAAAGGGGGTCTGGCAGTCCGAAGTTCTCCTGACTTGGGTGGTCCAGAAATGATACGGTTCTACGCGCGTGGGGTGTGGCTGTAAACGGCTGTGCCAAGTGAGTAGAGCAGTGAACTCTAGACCACCAGTGGACAAGGGAACTTCTCATCAACGCTCTCGCTTTGGAAGTCAACCTCCTCGGACCGCTCCTGAAGCTTGATCATCCATACCCTGAGAATTTGTTGGGCCCCATCGAGACTGGAGAGGACTTTCTTCGTCCTCCTCCTATCCTTCCCCCCTTCTCCGCATCTCATTCCGCTACACGAGGGGGGGGGGGTCGGGGAATGTCTCTAGCCACTCAATGCTTCAGCTTGGGAGGCATCGCGGCCGCCAACCGCGCGCGGCGGGGACTTGCGCAAACAGCCAATCCGTCAGGAGGAAAAAAACAAAGAGGAACGGGGGAAGAAGAAGGAGGGAGGAGGAAGAGGGATGGGGGAGGGGGAGAATATAAATTGGAGGTGGGAAGGAACAGGGAGGTAGAAAGGATGGGGAAGCGAGGGGGATGGGATGGGGGGAGTGGGAACGAACAAACGACCACCGCTGCAGATAAGCGTCCAGAACTAGCTCGGACCAGGTGAGGCCGTGGCCTGGATTCTGGAATGCCTTGACACGTGCAGTGCGAGGCGTACATAAAGTTAGAAAGAAAAGAGAAAGAGGAGGAGGCTTGGTGTCGGCGCAGGCGCGCGTGTCGCCTCGGTGTCTCGCTCTGTCTTGGATGCTTGCTCGCGTGGCGTCAGTGTGTTGGTGCTCCAGCGTCGTCCAGGTGGCGGCTTCTAAGGTTGCGCCCACCCATGTGATGTCGTCGGGCTGTCTTCTCGGATGGGTTGTTGTGGGATGTCGGTGGAGGCCTGGTCTGCGGCGTGGTCGTGCTGTGAGACTCTACAATTCATTTGCCATGGCTCAGCTGCTGTCTATGTGATGGGGCCTCGTAAAACATCATGCCCATCATGTGGCGCGATGGATGTATCCGCCCCAGGGTTCTATAGGACCTGCGCTGGTGTTGTCTGCGTCGCCCTCGCTGCACCAGTCAGGTGCAGCAGGTGCGTCGCAATCTAATAGGATGCTGTCCGCGTCGTCACTGGTGCTGTTTACGCAATGGTCGTTGTTCGGTGCTTCTCTGTGCGTGCCATCGAAAGCCATAGTTCCATGGCGGCTGTCGGGAGCCGCTTGGTTCGTCGTGTGCGTCGTCGCGGCATCCGGATGATCATGCGAAACATGCGTCTCTGTGTCCGTCGCAAGAGCTGCCAGAAAGGCTTCGTGAGCGTCCATGTCTCTGTTCAGTATGCGTGAGTGCGTCGGGGGTAACTCTGCTGTTGGACAGTCGGACTGGACGTGCCACTCTCGTGCGGTGGTGACTTTCCGGGCCCGTCAGGTCGTGGAAGCTGATCATTTGGTCGAGGTACTTGAGACTGCCCTCGTAGGGAATGATCTCAATATCCATATCTTGGACACGCACTGTGCGTGAGCTCGCCCTTCTGGTCCATCCCGTCTGGTCGCTTGCTCGGGTGCAGTTCAAGCTAGTGCGGCTTTCATAAGGAATTGAGGAAAGAAGAGGAAACCGAGCGGTGGGGGTGGGTGGGGGGGGACGAACAAGGCTGGAGGAGGGAGGGAGGGCGAGAGGAGTGAGGTGGGAGGGAGGAGGGAGCGGATGAGAGCTGAGCGGGGGATGGTGCAAGAGAGAGACGAGAAGATCGGGCCCATCGGACAAGCACCGGTCATGCAGTCAGAGCTCTGCCGTGAGGAACAGATCCAGGGCCTCAGCTTCGCCCAGATGCACGAGAGTACCCAAGGGCACCAGAAGAAGATCGTGTAGAGCCCCGGGACCCGTGCACAAGGTAGGTCGTGGAGAGGGTGCGGCAATCGCTTGTGGTTCCGGCAAGGCGGGGCGGTACCCGCCGTCGGGCTAGCCATCCCCGTCAGGAAAGAGCGGCCAGTCGAGGAGGAGGAGGAGGAGGAGGGGGACAACGATGGCTACGAGATCGACGGGAATGAGGACGAAGAAAATGATAACGGAAAACGAGGACTAGGTCGGAGATAACGAGGACGAGGACGACGAGCGTGAGGACAAGCACGAGGACGATTTGGATGTAGATGTGGAGACTCGAATAAAGAAAGCGCCCCTACTCTAATCGGCGGATTGGCCCCCAGCAAACAGGACAGAGTACAAATATCAAGGTAAAATGCAGCGAGTCCGCGCAGCGATTACAGATGGGCCAGCAGGCACTTTTGACACAACATCCCAAAATCATGCATCCCGACCTTCCCATGACTTCCAGATAAGCCAGTGAACTCACGGCTGCACATTCTGAACTGCTATGCGATTCAAAGGAGCGCCAAACAAATCAGGTGCAACCCACGAGCCGATCTCAGGCACGGAAACACATGAGGTGAGCAGAGAGATCGAACGCGTGAAAGGTAACGAATTACTCCCCCCCCTCCCCCTGTGCCAGTCGCAGCCCAGAGGACACGCAGAAAACGATGCGCCATGCCTGACAGGGCATCATTTGCACAAGAGTGGGCAGCGTGATTGCCAAACTTGCTTGCCATGGCGTGTGAAAACACGCTGTGCAGCAAAAGCCTCGAATTGTTTAGCAAGAGCCCCTACTCCCGACCGTCCCATGCTTGAACGACAAAGCGCAATGCGATGGCTGAAGACAAGTGCGCGAAGCAACCCCAAGCTGTTCACCCAACGCGTCCCCTTTACATTTCATCTCCCACTCTCTGTCCTAAACCTGGAGGGGGCATGCACCCTCATCAGGACCAGCAGCAGTGGCACTAGGACGACGAGGGAGGGAGAAAAGAGGAACGGTTCGTTATTCCTTCTCCTCATCATCCGCGCCCCCCTTCTTTGACACGAAGGGGAGGGACTGCCCCAGGGGGGAAGCAATGACTTGGAAGCGGCGATGCATCGCCGTTAGATCGGCCGTATCTTACTGGGCAGGGCTGGACACCCGGGCTCCGATTGGCAATGACTGGGCGATGGGGGGTCGACTCTTCCCAAAGGGCAACACCGCCCCCCCCGCCGGCGTCCTGATTCTCGCCCATCACGACTCAAGGATCCGGATCGGGCGAACAGGGGGGGGGGCAGCCAATAGGGGGCCTAGCGAATCAGCTCACGTGGCTGAGGGGGGAGGACATGGAGAAAGAAGGGGCCATACGAGGAGTCTTGCAATGGGGGGCAAGGAAGGCGGGCTCCCCTCCTTTTGTGCTTGAACCTGTTTTCTGCTTCGCCCCAGTCTCGAATTTCCTAGCCTCCCCTTCCGTCCCGACCGAATGCCGAAACCAGCAGCCTGCAACAATTTTCGCCCCCGCAAAAGTCTTTCTCTCAACGACACGTTTGGCCGACGCAAAGGACGACTCCGCGATGACGATGGAGGCGGCGCCGCACAAGGCGACGACCCCACCCGGGCCAGTCCCTTCCCCGGTCGAGGCCCCTGACCCTCGCTCACCATGACTCCATCACGTCCTCTCGTCCGGCCCGGGTGACGACTCCGTGACGACGACGGCGGCGCCGCCGCAGACGGCGACAACGAGGCGACGACACCACCGAGCTGCGGCGCGGCGGGCGCAAAGAGAGGGGGCCGCCCGGCTCGGCGCGGACGGCGGGCCTGCCCCACTGGCGTGGAGGGCCGCGCCTGGCGGGGCGGAGCGCTGGCGTCGGGATGAAGAAGATCGGGCTCCCCAGATCGAGCCGCACCGCCGTGTGGGATGCGGCGCGGTCCTCCGACCCAATCTGCTCTGGCCCCCCTCTCCGCGACGAGCCCTTGTCGTGACGAGCCCCTCGCCCTCCTCGAGGCTCCCCTCCGGCCGCCTGCCCACGTCTTGGAGCGAGGCGAGAGGGTCGTGAGGGAAGGGGTCGGATTGCGAGAGGTCGGCTCGGCCGCCCACGACCAAGGCGAGCAGGATGCGGGAGCATGGGGTCACCTGACGGTGGACTCGGCGACGGGACCCGCAGTGGACGCCGACAGCCTGGTCGAGGCCGTCTCGACAGGGCACCGCTTGTCTTGCACTGCCACCTCCTCGTCCTGCCTCCTGGCCGGGTTCCACTCCAAATCGGTCTCCGGGGCTTGTCATGATCACCATCCCGACAAGCTGTTCGAGCCGCGGAGGGCCCCCCAAAGGGCATGGCAACAGGCTCGGCAGATAATCGAGGCAGAGATGCAGGCGACGATCAGGAACACAACGGCGCCAAAAGATCGAGCTGCCATCGTGTGGCGGCCTTGCCGAGAGGGGCACAACCGCGGGGGTCGGGACAAGCAACCCAAAGGGAGGCCCTCGCTACATGCACAGACCGCGTCGTGCCCCACTTTCGTGCCTTACTTCCACGTGCGTCTCAAGATACACCTTCTCCTGGGCATTCAATCCTCCATCCACCCTCCCCCTCTTCCTCCTCCCTCATTGCTCCTCCCCCCTTCCTCCTCCTTCCTGCTCTCTCTCTCTCTCTCTCCTCATAATCATTGTCATCAGCATCATCATCACCACCACCACCACCACCACCACCACCATCATCATCATCATCATCATCATCATCATCATCATCATCATCATCATCAGCATCAGCATCATCATCATCATCATCATCATCAGCATCATCATCAGCAGCATCATCATCAGCCAAAGCAACATCGTCCTCCTCCTCCTCATCCCCATTATCCTCCTCCTCCTCCTCCGCCTCCTCCTCCTCCTCCTCTCTTCAATCCTCCTCCTCCTCTTCATCATCATCATCATCACCACCACCAGTACCAGCACAACCACCACCATCGCCATCATCATCATCATCATCATCATCATCATCATCATCATCATCACCATCACCATCGTCATCATATTCGTCGTCAGCAGCATCACCATCATCACGATCACCACCATCATTATCACCATCACCAGCATCATTATCACCATCACCATCACAACCACTATCATCATACTCATCATCATGATCATGACCATCATCAGCAACATCAGCATCACCATCGCCAACACCACCATCATCATCATGATCAGCATCATCATCATCATCATCATCATCATCGTCATCGTCATCATCATCATCATCATCATCATCATCATCATCATCATCATCATCTTCGGCATCACCAGCATAATCATCAGCACCACCATCAGCATCAGCATCGTCATCATCATCATCATCACCACATTGATCACCATGTTGGTAATCGAACTGGTCATCATAGTCATCAAAGGTATCATCAGCATCATCACCATCATCCCCCATCAATTTCAGACTCAACTTCAGCATCACACTCGTCATCAGCATAATCATCATCATCCTCATCATCATCCCCAGCACCACCATCACCATCAGCATCGTCATCGCCATCCCCAGCATCATCATCATCGCCTTCATCATCAGCATCATCAGCATCATAGTTATCATAACCATCCTCATCCTCAATATCATCCTCAGCATCATCACCACCATCATTGTCATCAGCAACATTAGTATCGTCATCATCACCATCCTCATACTCATCACCGTCCTCTCATCCTCAACATCCTCATCATCGTCATCAGTATCGCCATCATCAGCATCATCAACATCATCATCAACATCAGTATCAGCATCACCACTATCATCATCCTCATCCTCATCCTCATCCTCATCAGCAGCATCATCATTGTCGTCGTCGTCTTCATCATCGTCATCATCGTCAGCATCATCATCATCAACAGCATCGCCATCGTTGTCGTCGTCACCATCGTGTTCCTCGTCGTCCTCCGCATGATCGTTCCGCCCAGTTCTCGGACTATCACATGGAGAGAAAGGGAGGATGATGAGGATTAAGAGGAAGTTCAGATGCTGGCGGGCAGAGATGGGCAAGCGCGTTCCACTAATCGCAGAATGATCACTCGCACATGCCCTGGTCCGCCGAGGGAGCCCTGCGATCCACTACGAGTAGACACTTTACGAGTAACGGGACACGCTCGGTAAAAATAATGAATGGAGAAGAGAAGAGACGAGGACGGATACGGAAGATGAGAACGAGGACGAGGAGAACGAGAGGAAGAAAAAGGAGGGAGAAGGACGGGAACGAGGAAGGAGGGGGAGAAAGAAGAGGAAAGGGAGGAACGGAACAGGAACACCTACACAATGCCGGCGCGGGTGATCCTGGGCAGAAGTGATCTTTGGCACGGTGCTTTGAAGGGGCGCGGCAGTGGGCCCAAACCCAAGCGCGCAAGCTGCTGCTATCGCATCGCACTCATCGACAAGGAGGGCCCACTGGGCCCGCATCCGTCGTCACTGTTGCGAAGGGTCACTCTCACGTGTAGCCGACAACAAGCCCCATCCCTCCCCATGTCGCCAGCCGTCCCCGCCTTCCGGCCGTAGGCGAACCCCGGGTCGACGTCCGAGGGGATCAGGGCGCGCTGCGCGCGGCCGCGCGCGTGGGGTAGGAGTGGGCGGCGGGTGGACGTACGCCTCGCATCAAGAAAGAGGAGCTCGATCGTAGAACCAGCGCTTCGCCTGAGACATCTTCGCGATCTGCTTTCAACGCAGATTAGTCAGGCCGCCCTAGCGCAAATCGCCTGAGACATCCCCACAATCTGGGCGCGAACGGGGGAGTGAAGCCACCTCTGGCAACCCCCCCCTCCCCCCTGGAGGAGTGCTGAGAAAGGGCATCGCCTGCGACATCCTGACAGTCTGCTCTGAACGCAGACGAGTCTGGCCACCAAAACAGGCAAACCACCTGAGACATCCCCACAATCTGGGCGCGTACGGGGTAGTGCAACTACCCCTGGCGCCCCCCCCTTGGGAGTGCTGAAACCAACGCCTCGCCTGAGACACCCCCCACAATCTAGGCGCGAATGACGGTCTGAGAGCAAGTGAGTCTGAGTGTATGTGTGTGTGTGCTTGAATATAGCTGAAACTGAGTGGGTGAGTCTGATTGTGAATGATGAGTAAGAATAAATCAGAGTGTGAGTAGCTCTTAGAACGAGTGAGTCCGAGCACGAGTGACTCTGAGATTGAGTGAGTCTGAGAGTGAGTGGGTCTGAAATGTGAGGGCGACGGCGCGGCTATAGTAATAACACACGGACCACCCGATACATCCCCACACTCTCGCGCCAGGAGACGGAGACAGACGACGACGGCGACGACGACGACGGCGACGACGACGACGACCACTACGAACGACGACGAGACCGACGACGACGACGCGAACGGACGGACGGACGGACAGACGACGACAACGATGGACACACGACACTGACGACCGTCGCGTCATCACTGTTTGCCGGCGCGGCGGAAGGAATCGGGGGAAGCAAGGTGGAGCAGCGGAAGCAGCAGGGAGGCAGGGATGGGGGGCAGCAGCAACTGGACGAGAAGGAGAAGAGCAAAGCGGGTGGAAACGGGGCGAAACTGAACTGAGCTGGGCGATTGGGCGCTGAAGCCTGGCGACAGCCCGTTCGTAAATGCACCGAGGCGATCGCATTGTAAAATCCCACCAGCCCTCTGGGCGAATGTGGTATGACGAACTGTTTCTCCCTTTTCCAAACCCCTTCTTCCCCTGCTCGGGGAAAGGGCTGCCACTGTTCCGTATTATCATGCACCCCCTCCCCTACCACACCGGCTGCACACACCGGGACAATGCGGGCACCCCCTCCCGGCATCCCTGTCGCAAAACAATGCAAAGGGCAAATTTGTGAGCGCCCCGTGAGCACTTCGTATGGACAGGGACGGCGGGGGTGCGCTCATATTGTCAGCTCTGAGCAGGACAAGCACCCCAGTGAAAAACATCAAGCAACAAACACTCTGCAGCAAAATGTGGCTCATGCGCGGGCGCCCCGTGATCACTTGGCACAGGTTTTGAGAGGGGCAACGGCGGTGCCCTCCAAACGTCCCTTGAATGGAACATGACTCGACGCGGAAATCCCCACGTGCGCACCCCATGCTCATGTCACGTGTCGTTAACTCTATATGTCAGCATCTGGGTGTGAGAGCGAGTCCGCGTAGACGACGTGCGCGACGACGACGACAGCGACGATTTCAGTTACGTCCAACTCCTCCTCCTCCTCATCTGACATATTTCAGGAGAGAGGGACGCACAGGTGAGGACCGAGGGAGCATTGCACAATCAAGATAAAGAAGACAGCGAATGGATCTGAGTGTGAATGATCCAAGCGTGAGTGAATATGAGTGTGAGCGAGCCCAGGAATGATCGAGTTTGAGCGTGAGGAAGTTCAAGTCTGAGAGTCTGAGTACTGGTGCGTCTGAATATGAGTGAATCAATAAATACTGTCAGAGTGAGACTGAGGGCGAGGGACTCTGAGCGTGAGCAAGTCTGTGTGCGAGCGGGTCCCACTAAGAGCTTGGCGAGTCTGACTAAGAGTGTGCGTGAGTGTGGGTACGAGTGAATCTGAATATGGATCAATCGGACGGTGGGCGAGTCTGGGTGTAAGTGACTCTGGGTGTGAATAAGTCTGACTGTGATTAAGTCAGGATATGAAAATTATGGGAATGAGCCTGAGCAAGCGTGAGTCTGGGTCCGAGCGGGTCTGCGTATGAGTGGGTCTGAAGGCTGGCAGATCTTAGTGAGAGAGAAGCTGAGTATGAGTTCATCTACTTAGTGCGTTAGTGAGCCTGACCGCAAGCGGATCTGAATGTGAGTGAATCTAAACGAGTGCGTCTGGGTATGACTGCGTCTGATTATGAATGGGTCTGAATGTGGGTGGTAGGACAACATGGGCACGAACGGGCCCGTGATATACCCCCTGGCGGCCCCTTTTGGGCTGCTGGAGCCAAAGCCCCACCTGAGACATCCTCACCATCTGCTCTGAACGCGGACGAGTCTGGCCACCAAAACAAGCAAACCGCAGGAGACGCCCTCACAATCTCGACGCGAACGGGAGAGTGAAACCCGCCCTGGCCCCCCCCTCTCCGCCCCTCTGAAAGTTCTGAAGCCAGCGCCTCGCCTGACACACCCTCCCTCCCTGTGCGCGAACGAGGGTCTGACTGCGAGTGGATATGAGTGTCTGTGTGTGTGTGCGCGCGTCCAAATCTGACTGGGACTGAGTGTGAGTGAGGATGATTGTGAATGATGAGTAGGAGTAAATCTGAGTGTGAGCAACTCTGAGCACGAGTGACTCTGAATATGAGTGGGTCTGAGCACGAATGAGTACGAGTGCGAATGAATCTGTGGTGAAGGAACAGCCGGCGCGGTTTTAGCACTAACAAGCAAAGCGGCCGACACATTCTCACAATTTGGACGCGAATCCTCGAATGTCACCACCCTGGCGGCTCCCATTTGACACGGATGGACAAAACGCCTCGCTGGAGGCTGGAAACATCCTCAAACATTGCTCAAAATCAACACGGTTCAGCAAACAATGGGCAACACGCCTGAGACATTCCCACACTCTGGGCCCAGATCCTGGAGTGCCCCACCCATAACGTCCCCCCCCCCAGGAAATGCTGAAACCAGCGCCTCGCCTGAGACCCCCTCGCAATCAATAGTTTACTCCGAATGCAGAAGATGCTGAGCATGCGAGCGGGTAAACTGCCCGAGAGCCCCCCGCAATCTGGGCGAGAATCCTGAAGTTCCCACACTTACCACCATCAGCCATAACATGGTGTAAATAATCCCCCGGCGGGAGAAACCACATTTCCTGGGCTGGCCTTAGCTCATGCGGAACATGCGTTTGGGGTTGCGTGGCGTCTGCCGCGCGAGTGCGAAGATGCGTTGTCGATTCCGTAAAATGCGGATTCTGTAAAATGTCACCCTCGATTCTTCCTGCACGCTTTTTCGTCCATCATCATCGTCCCCAACCACGCAACGCCAGCGCAACATCAACATCACCATCGCCACCATCACCATCATCATCATCATCATCATCATCATCATCATCATCATGGTAATCATCATCATCATCATCATCATCATCATCATCATCATCATCATCACCAACATCACCATCATCATCATGATCATCGTCATCATCATCATCACCATGACCATCATCGTCATCATCGTAACCATCAGTATCAGCATCAGTATCATAATCGTCATCGTCTTCGTCATCATCTTCGTCATCGCCATCATCGTCGCACCATTACCTCCATCGATATCATCGTTATCAGCATCACCATCACCATCGTCGTCGCTATCGTAATTGTCATCATTGCCATCATCGTAATCGTCGTCGTCGTCGTCGTTGTGGTCGTGAGGTCGTCGTCGTCGTGTGTCGTCATCGCTCTCGTCGTCGTCTTTGTCGTCGCTCGTCGTCGTCGTCGTGCTTGTGTCGTTTTTCGTCGTCTTCGTCGTCGTCCCTCGTCCTCGCCGTCGTCGTCGTCGTCCCGTGCACGTCGTCGTTATCCTCATCGTCCTACTAGTGACCGTTTTGACCTCCGAATGATTGCATTGGGAGCGCGGGCCCGTCTATGATTATTACTCGGGGTCGTGGTCCTGTGAGCGCGGACCCAGGGTTCCTCAAAATAGGCTAGAGGCCTACTTTTTACGGGTTGCAGATGTGATTTCTCACGCGCCGACCGTGGGCCCGAAGGGGTCGGCGAACCATGATGTTTCAAATTCGCACGCCGACGTCCCGAATGACGGGCCGGTGAAGCATGATTCCTTTGTCGTCCCAGCTCAAACCATGAAAAAGGAGGCATTTTAGGAAAAGCACAACAATTCACTCCCTCCGACTCCTCCCCGCAACCGTTGTGGCCCAAGCCGTTTTGGTTTTTTTTTTTTTTTCTCTTTCTCTCTCTCTCTCTCTCTCTCTCTCTCTTTTTTTGGCAGTGCGATATGAGTACTCCAGGTCAAGCTAGACGCATCCTGAACCAACCGGGCGCCTGCGGCTGTCCCGCCGACCCCTCGTCGTCGCATGCGCGAGGGGGCACAAGGTTCCTCGAGTATGGATCGGGCGCTCTCGCCTTCGCTCTGGCTCAATTCTGAGTGAATGGCGCCCCCGCGATGCGCCGGCCTCGGAGCGGCCCCAACAATAATATTCATCCGCCTTTTGCGCCCATGCAAACGGGCTGGGCGGAGTTTAAGGATGACGATGGTGATGGCAACACGTGGGTCTCCATCAGATCGAATGGCAATGCGCTGCTCGTGGGGTGTCGGCTCTGTAGTGCTGCTGGGCTGACAGGTGCTTGGCCCGCTGGCGAAGTGAGCATGCAGGGTGGTCTCTCAAGATTCCGGTTGAGCCAACACGAAAGCCTACAAGCCTGCGGCGCTTGCCGACGCCCCCCCCCGCAAGGAAGGGCTGTCATGTCTTCTAGTGGCCTTCGGCCTATCCCGCCACAGTATCTGGGTTATTGCGGGTCAAAGGCCTCTTAGATGTCCGTCGGGATCTCTTGGTGCTGCTCGGGGGCCGCTTGGAGGCAATTTCGAAACCACTCGGGGCCGTCTTGGGGCCTCTTGGGGAACTCTCTGGGGCCTCTTCTTGGGGCCTCTCGGGAGCCTCTTGGGGACTCCAGGGAAGGCTCGGATTCCTTGGCCGTCGTTGGGCCCTTTTGGGGCACTGCTCGTTGGAGCGTCCTCAGGTACTCACGTCGCGTTCTGTCCCAAATTCTCAGATCTCTCGGGCGCTCTCGGGCGCTCTCGGGCTGGCCCGCGCGGGATTTCCAGAGGACAGACGACAGAGGACTCCAAGACTGGTCAAGAGGGCCCGGGAAGCGCTTGAGAAGAGGGCCCAAGAGGAGGCTCCTAGACAGCCCAAGAGATCCCCCGATAGGCCCCCAGAACGCTCCAGGAGGACTGCCAGGAGGGCCCCAAGAGGCAATTATCGCCCTCTTGAGTTGTTTCAGACGCTCCATCCAAGAAGACGACAGCCCAAGAAGACCCCAAGACCGCCCCAAGACGGCCCAAGAGGTCCCTTAGTAGAACCGAGGCACGGTGGCGGAGGCGCACAGTTCGAACGCTAGGGCCGCGCCCGCCAGGGCGCCGACGGAAATCTAAGAAACATATGCTTGCAGTCAAAAAGCAACAATGGCGTGGTTCTGTGCATCAGCCTTTGAGCGCTGAGGAGCCCGTCGACGCGCCCCCCCTCAAGGATTTCGAGCTGCTCATGGCTGGTGTACGCAAGAGTGGTCACACATTGATTGATGGCATTGGCGGCGTGAAGAAGCAGCGCCGGATGCAATGGTGTCTGGCAGAGGCTTTTCGACACGCCACTCGCTCATTCTTCAAGAAGGGGACGGAGCCCGTCATGGCCTCGCTGATCCAAGACTCCACGCAGGAGCCGCTCGCACCGAATCGCTTCTTCGTCTGCCCTTTCCTTGGAAGCCAGGGGTCGGTGGCGGCGTGGATCAAGGGCGCTCCCTTTTCAAAACGTGGATGGTCTGACACTTGCTCGAGCTAAAGCTCCTAAAACGCGATGTTTTGCTCATCCTCATAATCCTCCTTCGTATTATCATTCCTCTCCACCTGCTTCTCCTCTTCCCACTCCTCTATCCTCGCCTAATCTTCCCATTGCTCTTCCTCCTCCTCCTCCTCCTCCTCCCCGACATGGTCGAGGAGCTGCGTGCTCCACGCGTGGGGGGCCTACGTCTCTTTGGCACCTCCCCCTCCTCGTCATCCTCCTCCTTCTCGTCATCGTCCTCCCCCTCCCATTCTCCTCCTCCTCCCCGCCTCCTCCTCCCCTCCTCCTCTTCTTTTTCCTCCGCTCTCTTCCCGCACCCCCCCCCCCCCCCCACGGGGGCGGCGGGCGGGGTCTTGCCCGCCGCAGGAGCGCCTCCTGGCCCGCATCAGAGCGTGCAACGCCAACCTAGACGCGCGCACCGCCATCCTTGGCGCGCAGAACCTGGCTGAGGCGCCTCAGCAGGGGCCCTCACTCATTCGACCCATCCCCCTTGTTGTCCGGGGTGGGCGGGGGAGGGGGGGGTGGAGTTGACGGGGGGGGGGGGAAGAAGAGGAGGAGGAGAAGGATGAGAGAAAGGAAGAGGAGGAGGGGGAGGGGGGGGAGGAGGAGGGGGAGGAGAAGGAGGAGGAGGAGGGGAGGAGGAGGAGGAGGGGGATGATGATGAGGAGGAGGAGGAGGAGTGGGAGGAGCAGCAGAAGTGGAATAATAGGATGGACAAGCATACGAAACCAGAAGAGTAGGCGGGGGATGAGGGGCGAGGAGGAGGAGGAGGCTAGTCAGGAGGAGCATGATAACAGGCATGAGGAGAAGAACGGGAAACGAGGGGACAAGAGAAATATAATAAGAACAAAGAGGAGGAGAATGAGTAATGACTGAGGGGGATGAACACGATTTCTCCCACGTGCTCTCATGGCGTCCGCTCCGCCCTCCCTCTCCGCCGCCCAGGGGCGCTTGGGGGGGGGGGGGGGGGGCGGGGGGTCGAATGCGTGGGGGCCCCTCCTTACAGGCTCCGTTCACTGCTAATTCTCCTGGAATCCGCGATGCGAGTTTGTATATGTTGGCGCGAGCTTCGACGCCATTAGCAAGCCCACCATATGTTAAGAAACATGGTAAATTTGACGAACACCTCTTCAAGCGTATGTCTGACTCTATCATAGTGTATATGGCCGATTCTGCGAGAGCTGAACAACTGGCTGGCGAGATGCTCATGTACGAGGAGGAGTCTAGCATGGGCTGCGCCGAAGTCGACGGCTTCCTCCTGACCAACCTCCGGAAAGTGGGGCAGGACAGGCCGCATGGAGTGCGAAGGACACTCGGGGATAAAACAACAGAAAACAGGGTTTGCCTCCTGCCTCCTCCTGGGGCCTCCGGGGGCCTCTAGGGGGCTCCTGGAGCCTTCTGGGCTCCCCCGCGGCGCAAAGGAGAATAGTGTTCATAGTGTGTAAGTGCAACGGTCGGGAGGAAGTGGAGGCGCAGGGGGAGGAGAAGGAAGGAGTCGAAAGGGGGGCATGACAAGAAGAGGCAGGAGGATCAGCAGGAGCAGGAGGAACAACAACATGACGAGAAGAAGCGGGGGGATGAGGAGGCGGAGGAGGCTGGCGACGACGCCGACGACGAGGAGTAGAACGAGGTGGAGGAGGAGGAGGCGGAGGGGGAGGATAGGAGGAGACGGAAATCAATCGAAGAAAAACGTTCCGAACATGTATTATTCGTCTCCTTTCAGGGTGCGCAGCCGAGCCTGGGCCGCCGACCCCTTTTTGAAGCACGTCGCGCACCATTTCGTTCTCGGCCAGGGCTCCATTGTACGAACTATTCAATACAGTGAGATTTTCAAGGCTTGGTGGCAAGAGTTTAATGCAAAATTGACGAACAGTCCTGTGGTAGGCAAGCGGATTAAAGACCTCAACTTCGCAAAGCACAGGTTCAACAGTACCCAGAAACCGTTCGGCCGCGCCGTCATTTTCATGGACTCGCTCATCAATGTTGCCAATAAGATCATCCGTGTGCGTGAGAAGACCAGTAAAGAAACCATCAGTGCTCGTCATTTTCTTGATAACCTCACAGACGAGATGATCATCACGCTCGGCATGTTGGCGGACGCTGGGGACGAGACAGACATACTCATCATGTTTCTAGATTCTGAGTCGGTTGACCCGAGTACTATTGCAATGCAGACGGTCGCGTTCTTGGATCGAGCTCATGCTTTGTTTGTGCTGGGCGAATGTCGCCACGCAGGGTATGCAGAATACATTCTGAAGTTTCTCTCGCGCGAGCGGGTTATCGTGCACCGTTGGAGCCCAGCTGGTGGCGGGCCCAAAGTCCTGGGGAAAAATGGCGGGGTCAGCGATGAGATCTTCCAGACGTGCCTCGCGCGCATGAAAGCTTGGGTGGCCCTGGCGAAATCGACCCTCGAGGCTGAGATCCCTGATTTCGAGGCGGTGTACAGTTTCAATATCTTCAACGTCGCCGGCCCGATGGAGCACGGCGAGGCCCGCATGAAGTACTTCGACGCCCTTGCAGGGTCAGGGCTGCATGTACTGAATTTGCTCAGGGCGGAACAAATGGATTTTTGTGCAAGTATCCCCACGAGTAGCGATTAGGAGATGATTGGGAGGAGGGCGACGAGGAGGAGGAGGAGGAGAAGGATGAGGAGGACGAGGGCGACGAAGAAGGAGGAGGAGGGGGAGGATGAGGATGATGAGGAGGAGGAGGAGGGTGGGGGAGGAGGAAGAGGAGGAGGAGGAGGAGGAGGAGGGGAGGAGGTGGAGAAGGAGGAGGAGGAGGAGGAGGAGGAGGAGGAGGAGGGGGGGAGGAGGAGGAGGAGGGGGAGGCGGAGGAGGAGGAGGAGGAGGAGGGGGAGGAGGAGGAGGAGGAGGAGGAGAAGGAGGAGGAGGAGGGGGGAGGAGGGAGGAGGAGAAGGGGGTGGAGGAGGAGTGGGATGAGTAGCAGGGGTGGAATAGGATGGACAAGCATAAGAAACCTGAGGAGTAGGCGGGGAATGAGGGGCGAGGAGGAGGAGGCGAGTCAGGAGGAGGATGATAACAGGCATGAGAAGAATAATGGAGGACGAGGGGACAAGAGGAAATGCAATAAAGAACAAAGAGAAGGAGGGGGAGGAGGAAGAGGAGGAGTAATGACTGAGGGGAATGAACACGATTTCTCCCACGTGCTCTGATGCCTCACGCGGTCCACTCCGCCCTCCCCCTCCGCCTCCAAGGGGCGTGCGTGTGTGTGCGTGTGTGTGTGTGTGAGTGCGTGTGTGTGTGTGTGTGTGTGTGTGTGTGTGGGGGGGGGAGTCGAATGCGCGAGGGCCCCTGCAGGCTCCGTTTACTGCTAGCTCTCCTGGAATCCGCGATGCGAGTTTGTATGTGTTGGCACGAACTTCGACGCCATTAGCAAGCCCACCATGTGTTAAGAAACGTGGGCGGGCGGCCCCACTGACTGAGACCTTCGGTGGAGCTCCCTATGCATGGGGCCACGATCCATTCTAATGCTGGGCGTGGTGGGCGCATGCGGGTGGCCCCACTGACTGGGACCTTCGGTGGGGCTATGTATGGGGCCACGAAAAACGCTGTGCTGGGTGAGGCGGGCGCATGCCGGGATGAGTGATGACGATGATGCCGATGATGATGATGATGATGTCGATGATGATGATGGTGATGATGATGATGGAGGAGGAGGGGGGGCAGGGAGAGGGCAGCGGGAGTCATGTGGACGCGGAGCGCTGTCTCTTCAAAACGGGGTCTCAACACCACAAGAAGATGGCTGGGAAACATCACCCCCTGGGGCGCGAAGAAGAAGAAGAAAATAACCATGTTTCGCGCGTCGCCCTCTGGGCCACAGCGGGCATCTTCCCCCGAGCAAGCGGCGCGGGTGGGGCGCGAGCGAGGGCGCGGAGGCAACGGCGCGTCTCGCATCGCCGGGCGCGACGCGCGAAGTTCAGTGACCTCCTAGACCCATGTTCTACATGCTGCGTTTCGTAGCCATTTTGGCTCAAGCAAGTGATTGAGGCACCGCAGCCACGACGAGCACGCAATCATGATGGCGAAGTCTCGGCCGCAGCCAGCGAACGCTGCGCTGTGGGCTCCGAGGGCGGCGAGCACTACTACTGCGCCGATGGCTACGAGGACAACTGCGCTGCTGGCTACGACGAGGGCTACGCTGGCGGCTACGAGGGCGGACACTACTACGCCGAGGGCGAGCGCTGCGACGGCGGCTGCGAGGGCTGCAACGCCAGGGGCTACGAGGGCGACCGCTACGCCGAAGGCCGCTGCTACAAGGAGGGCGAGCACTACGCCGATGGCTACGAGAGCTGCCCATACTACGCCAAGGAGGGCAACGTGGACATGGAGACCGTCACAGTCGCCAAGGACTGCTACGCCGAGTGCGAGCACTGCGCCGATGACGACTACGAGGGCGAACGAGGGCGAACGCTACGATGACGGCTACGAGGGCGAACACTACGACGATGGCCACGATGACAGCTACGACAACTTCTTCTGCTCCTGCGAGGGCTACGACTACTACGAGGACCCCTGCGACGTGGAGAACGACTACGACGACGACTCCGACATGAAGACCCAGCCGTATGCGCAGGAGGAGATTTTCGACCGCATGCGCTTGTCGGCCGACGATGAGATGATTAGCAGCATCATGCGCTGTCGCGCGATCCCGCCCGCCACCCACCCATCCCGCCGCCGCGCTCGGGACATCGCCAGGGCGCCATCGGGACACCATCGGGGCATCATCGGGGCACCATAGATCGCCACGCAATCGAGGCGCCACGTGGCGCCATCGATCGGGGCGGGTGGACTAACTATTGCGTCGCAAGCAAAGCCAAACACGCTTGCTGCTGCGCGCAAGCGCGGTGGCGGAACCCGCCCCCGAGCGAGGACTACGACAGCCGCGACGATGATGACTACTACTGCGACGACTTCGTGGACGTCTGGAGATTAGATCCGCGAACGGCAGAGGAGGTGGTCGCTCGCCGCTGGGACTTGGCGGATCGCTTGGCGGCGCTCCCCGAATGGGCGGACCCTGACGACGACTGCTACGACGAGCTCCTGGACTTCTTCTGGAGATTAGATCCGCGAACAGCAGAGGAGGTGGCCGCTCGCCGCCGGGACTTGGCGGATCGCTTGGACAAGCTCCCAAGATGGGCGCCGCCAGTGAAGAAGGTCGAGCACTACGCGTACTATGACGACTGGACGGCGAAGAAGCGTGATCACCAGTGGCCCTCCGTGGACCCGACGAAGAGGAGGAAGATGCATCATTGTTGGAAGGGTGCGTAGTCGGCTGAGTTCGCGCCTGCCTGATGATCCGAGCCAGCCTCCTCCTGTTGAGGCATGGACAGGCCTCCAGTTCTGCTGCCTGCAAGCCTCGGGGCCTGCCTGCCGGTGCGTCCGCGGTTTAATGATTCGGGCCT